CTCATCACGTGAAATGAAAAGTTGTGGCTCGTCGAGGATGGAGAATTTGGTCGGATTTGGTTTTCATTACCATTGTTTAAAAAAAAACTGCAGAAGAAACCTTGTATTTTGAATTTAGGAACATTCTCTCGAATATCTGCACGATAAAGATGTAGTTTTATTCAATCGATGTCAGTTAAAGGCAGACATTCAGCGAACATTTTCCAGCAAACAACACAGGCATCTTCTATTTTGTGATGGGCAGATTTCACCGACCGGGTATATATAAGGGTGTTTCATTAAGAGGGATCAAAATTAGTAGTAAATAAATCTGTGTTATTGGTGAAAAATTATTTATTTCTCTATTAGATCATGTTATTTAAGTTATGGCAATTATGTGCGAAAAATAATATCGCCCAAATGTCCACCAAATCTGAAAGAAAAAAGAAAAAAATCATTAGACGGTTAAACTTAATTCACATTTAAAATCGGTCCAAGTTTGCTGCCTTTCCACGGCAAAAATAGACGAAGGCTGCCTGGAGTCGAGAGCAAGAATCGAACACTCACTCCTGGTTTTGCAATAGGGTAGTAATCAAAATTCTCCATTAATACTAAAGTATAATAAGCCGCACAGGCCATACTCAGCGATTCTCTCACCGCGTTATCTACTCATTTTTACATGAATTAGAAAGAAAGAAAGAAAGAAAGAAAGAAAGAAGGTTCAATGTCTTAACTCTCTTTTCCCCAAGGAACTAGACCCAACTAGTTATATTCTCGGATATCCGGAACAAGAGTTAACAAGTATCAGAAAACCGAAATATAATAGTCGACAGTAATTTATTCTAATTTTTAATCTAGAAACGTGACTCGTTTGACAAGAGAACGGGGCGTTAGTTTTCCACGCTCCAATGCTGATGATATCTGTCCCAGGTGAAATGCAGTAACTACTCTCTCTCCCGTATTAATAACGGGATCCTCTTTGGTCGACCACAAAGCAAAACTGTGCTATTAATGGCATCGTCAGCATGAAACGACGAATTTCATTTTCTCCTTTACTTGATGGTTACTCCCTTTGTTGGTCGTGTCTGCTTCTGATACCTGTCTGGGACAAATATATATTTTTAATCCACTTTGCTGCTATTGTTTGAGAAAAACGTAGAAGCGTTGCTACCTCGGAGATAGAAGGGTTTGTTTTTCATTCCATGTTCGAAGGTTTTTAAAAGATGGGTGTGACGATAAACTACATCCGGCAGCAAGGACTCTGATCAGGAGGTTTTCAGAAGCGCGTGGCACCACCTCTTAATTGTTGTTGTTCCTAGGCTGACCTTGACCCATGGTCGTAGCACCTGTTAAGGTCCCAGTTATGAACAAATAATGAACTTTCAAACAAAAGTATATTGTACTATGTACTAAAAGTACTATGAAAGTCTAAAAACACATTTTTATAGTAAAAAGGACCAAGAATACCTATTTATAGTAAAATGACCAAAAATACATTTTTAAAATAAAATGGCCAGCAATATATTTTATCTGCAGTTGTAAGTATGCAGTTGTATCCCAAATATGGTTGAACACATATGGAGAGAAAAAGGGAGATCACCGCCCTCTCTGGGATCAGGTTGAGATCATAGACAAAGAACTCCATTGGAAAATTCGTAAACTTAAGTAATCAGCACATATGCTAAGCCACAAAAATTTCCTAAGCCAACCAAGCATAGAAATGAATACAATATAACAGTAATAAGGAATGCCAATGAAATGCGATAATAACAACAAAAATTGCAATATGAGTTCTGATAAAACATGTTGATAACAGCAAAAATTGCAATATGAGCATTGGTAAAAAATGATGCTTCGGTTTATAATACACAGAAATTCATACACAGATGTCTTCAAGGACACATGGCACAGTGGATAAAGGTGTTAGTTAGATCCAGTGACAGGACCCAAAGTGAGTTCAATACCCGGCTAAGGTCAGAGGGGAATTAACCGGAGATAACTGACAACTGACATCCATTAAAATATGGAACTAGAACAGTCTACCCAGTGAGCGAAATAAAGGGTTCAGTTCGACATTCCAACCACCTAAAGAAGGCCGGAGCGTACATCGGCCGAAACGTTGTAATAAATATGGCGACAAAGATGAGGGCAATAGTCCGAATAATGTAAATACTGTATATAATATCTCATCCCAGAAAATAAAGACAGATACTGAAGTACGAATTAAACGTATCAATGGAATTATTAATCTGGAAAGTGGTTTTTTAACAGATGAATGACTTCTTAAGGGTAAGCAAAGTGTTAAGGAACAAGGAATTCTGTTTAGAAACAAAGAAAGGATCACATAACTACTAAGTAATATTAATCCCCTTATATGACAGTGATTACGGGAGAATCTCTTCACAGATAAAAAGAAGACTTGAGGCAATTGATATATTGTCCTACAGATCGATGATGAGAATAAAAACGTCGGGCTGTGTAAACAAAAGAGGATATTTGGAGGAAAACGGAAACAAATAGGACAATTATACATAAAACCAGAAATAAAAAGCTGAAATTTCTGGAACACATAATGAAAAAAGATGACCTGTAAAAATTTAACACTCACAGGACAATCAGAAAAAATCATCGTGTGGCCTACGTAACAATCTTGCATAAATGGATGGCAGGTGCGATAGTAAATAGGATAAGTGGTAAGAGCAGATCAAGATTCCTTCCATGACTACCACATTTACACTGTCTCTAAAAATGTCTTCCAGTTAAGTCAATTTCTATAAGTGGGACAAGGAGAAACCTTCCAATTTACTGGGCTAATTTTAGGCTCTCCAGTTAAAGATATTGTGGGTGTAGATTGGAATTAATTTGCTGTTCAAGTTTAACTGTATAATCAGACAAAAGCCACCAGTCCGACTTAATCCTGATGCTGTGCAGACTGTATTAAAAAAAAAACAACTTCTAGATTGTTTAAAAAGAGTTTTCTACGGCGTCTTCCATGTGGATAAACTTCAATATTGGTAGCGATTCTTTAATTACTATTTCAATGATTTTCATTAATTCATTCAATCAAAGGAAACGAATAACAGAACTTCAACAGAGGAATTGGAACTGTGCTTCTTCTATGTGCTGTGTCCCTTCAGGACGCCAGCGATCATGGCTCTCCACAATGTCCTGTCTTTCATCGCCTTTAATAAACACTGTCCATAAATCCACTTAATAACTCTGTTCTACCATCTATTTAATGCAGCTCGCTCAGTAGATTATGCGTTGTTGTTTTTTTCAGCCACCCTCTGACCTTCAATCTGTCCTTGTGAGTATCAAATTTTCCAAGTTCTCTTTCCTTATTATTGGCCCTAGAATTTTCAAAAGACTTTTCTGATGTTAAGTATAAGTTACCTTTTCGTTTCCATTTTTCTAAAACTTTCGTCTTTGCTCACATGTTTGCTTCATGCTATTTTCAGTTGTTATTCTAAATTTTATGTTACGCTGTTCCTTTCACTGACAACCATGCATTCTGCTTGCTTTCAATTAGTGTTTAGTCTTTTCTTCTCACTTTCCTTCATACTTGATCAGTACTAAAAATATGAACTTATCTGGGTGTTTCTTATAGTTTACTTTCCGTGTCTGCTATCAACACTGGGTCATCTTCATATCATATGTTGTTAAGATTCTGGCTTCAATGAATGTAGTCAGCTGGATGCCTTTTTTCTACGACTTATCAACTTACTGCGGGTTATTTAAAGCCAGGACATATTTTTAGATTGTAAGAATGTTTTGGACACAATAATTACTTCTTGATACTACTATAATTCTACTAATTAACACATAGCTGAGGGAGAAATGGATACATACCCTACTCAAGAATATTTTAGCGTAAGTGAATATAACAAGTGCGACTGTAAATAGAACTTGGCTCTCCGATTTCGAATTCCGGGCCGTTATCCATTACACCACCCGCACATCCAACCTTACTCCCAAGCAGTTAACTGTCCAGGTGCGAATTCAGTTAAGCATGACAATCAGCAGTAGTAGCACACGTCATCAGGCAAATTAGGTTTAAGGACGCAAGTTCTTTACTTTTTGAAAATCTTCCATATTTAGACAAACAAAAATGACAGCGATTTTTTGTTGCTTTGAAAACCGTGTACCAAGGGGAGGGACACAAAAAAAATCTTGATAGGTTTTTTTTTTATTTTTACAAAAAAATAAATATGGACAGACAATTAGTTAAACTAAACTAATTATGTGTTTAGCTTTTTCGAGATTCCGTGGTTCCGTTAATTTTAACGTAATTGTATCAATTTTCCCCAAACTTATTATGTATTTTATTATGTATTTTTTTTTTTTTTAGAGGTACAAAAAAGAAAAAAACTCGCCTCAGTGAATATGAGGGAAGAAAAATTTTATGCACGAGATTCAACTCAGTTACCAAAAAAATGTTTAGATAGTTTTTTTCGAAAACTAGAGTCGTAAGTAATACTTCGGCTCTTGTGTTGTCAGTTTGTTTTATGAACAAGCTGGGTTTTTTTTTTCTGTGTGTGGGTGTGTAAGAAATCGTTCTCGTTATGTTATTTGGACAGACTTTAATATTCCGTAGAGTCGAATCGCTAGTTCGTCACTGATGTTTGGTATCGGAATATATATATATTTTTTTTATATGTAGACGCTGGGTGTTGCGTTTAGATCGCTGATGTAGTAATACGAGCTTAATTTCTCGTTCAACACTACTGTGGGAACGCGTGGAGTTTCTGTGTATTTTTCCAGTACTCTGTCGCTATTGATATGGTGAGAACGATTTCTCGAATCTTTCTGTCGCCACTTGATGTGGGACTGGTAACGTATTGAGATTTTCGACGTGAATGCGTTTCTCGAATTCTTCGTCGCCACTTGATGTGGGCCCAAAGTTGGAACCACGGAAGGAATACACGGAACATGGGTTAGAGGTAAGAAAGATATATTAAACAAAAAGGTTACAAAGATAGTGTAAGCGGAGCTTACTATGTGTTAGTGTCCAATATTGGAAGTCGTACGTGGCTGATACTACGGTATTAGAATACTCTCTCTCTCTCTCTCTCTCTCTCTCTCTCTCTCTCTCTCTCTCTCTCTTAGAGTATTATATCGCATACTTTATATAGTCCTGGAAGAGTCCATGTTGGAGGTATGTTACGGTCTCACAAGAGCCTAATGGATTAAAGCGTTTGTTTATAAATTTGGTGACAGTAATTGTGAGTTCAATCCCTGGGCAAGGCAGTATCTACTTAGACTCAGTGGAAACAGTGGAAACAAAAACTGATCAGGACTTAAAATAAGAACTAGACGAGATATTATTAAATACGCGCAGTGGAGATCAGTCTGCTCCCGTAGATTAAATAAAGGGTTTAGTTTGAAATTCTCTCTAGGTTACTCAGATCGGCATACAGCTGACGAAGGCCTGGGAGAACAATGGCTGAAATGTTGTGATACCAAAGATGAGGCAAATAGGCCACATGTACACTATACGCCAAAATTTGGGAGCCACCCTGCATCTCTTTAAAAAAAAACACCTTAAATGAGTTTTTATTTTTATCTTTTTTAAAGCATGAGATAAAATTTCAGTAACTACAGTGTATTTGCTTTTATTTGACAAAACATAAACACTTAAAAATAAAATATTATCATACAACAGCATCCCCCTCCTTCTTCCTCTCTCTCTCTTTCTTATTCCCCCTCTCTTTCTTCCTCTCTCTCTCTCACACATTTCTCTTTTCTCTCTCTCTCTTACTCTCTCACCCTCTTTTTCCTTTTTATTCTCCCTCTTTCTTTCTCTCCCTTTTTCTCTTTTTTCTCTCACTCACTCTCCCCTCCTTCTTTCTCTCTCTCTCACTTTCTTACTCTCCCTCTCTTTCTTTCTCTCTCTTTCTCTGTTCATCATCCTTATCCTACTTCCCTTTCTTATCTCATGGAATAACACATTTTTAATTACAGGCAAAATATCGAAATGACACATTTTACAGGAATTGATTCTGGTTTGGGATTTTGGGGCAATTTCTTTCGGAAATCTAAGATTGCTAAAATATAATCAACGCTACACGTGTGAATTTTAACGTATATAACTGAAGGCATCCACCTAGGGGGCCAAACAATAAATGGGAGGGGGGGATATATGCCTCTCTTGCACACTTTAGAATCAATGGCTGTCAAAACAAAATGCAAACTCAGACAATTATAGACCATGTTGGATCATGTTGGATTAACAGTCGAAAAATAAATTCATCTTTTGAATAAGTGATTAAGAGATTTATTGGTAAAAATCAATTTCTTTTTGAAAGTCAATTGTTTGCACCAATAAAACGGACATGGCGCATATGACGAAAAGAAGATTCTTTATTCCTTTGATTGAAAATATAGGATAAAAGTTGCTTATCAACGTCATTCAATCTGCACAATACATTTTAGAATGGATCCTACGTCCTGATCCATTACTGTTGATATAAGCACCTCAAAAGATCTTCTCTAATATTATAAGATCAAGTTTTACAAATAAGCTTTGATATTTGATAACTTTGTATGCGTTCTTTGTTTTTGTTTGCGTTATTTTCAATTGCTGAAACTGTTTCATGATTTTTTTTTAAATCTCATAGAAATCTTTGAAATATTCTATGATTTTATCTGTTGGGTTTGTATGTTTCGTACTGAACATCTTCAGATAAAGTGGATTCATGCTTTCATCAGTAAAAGATCCCATAACAAATAGACACATTTGATATGCCAAAGATCTTTGATCTGTGGCTTTGAAGCCATAGATCAACGATTTAAACAAATAATAACCACGGAAACATTCTCTCTTTGAAATTCTAGTGAAAGCGAAGGACGCTCATAAAATGGAGAAAATGTTAACCAACTGTTCAGTGTTATTTCTAAATCCAGTAGAATAAAATGAACGTAATTTTATTTATTCTTTTCATGCATTTAGGTATTTCTTTAATGTGGTTAATAAAATCTGAGATCAATATATCCGGAGCTCGTGTTGTTAAAATATGCAAAGACAAACATTGAAGTAAAAATACATTTCATTATACATTATTTAATCTCCACAGATTCCGTTTTTTCATTATCAGTGAATTGCGAAGACTTCTTTGGAAAGATAGTACCATTATTTCACATCGCCTTTTTTTACAGTCTTCATTTCAGAGAAATCCTTAGAGTGAAAGTGAACGCAGCAGACAAGTCGGAATTTGAACCCGACGATTCCCCTTTCCACGAAGCTAACATGACGCTATCCACACACTCCTATTATGCATTATAAAAATCATAAACAATAATCAATTTACAGGTTTCGTAAAGGATATTAGAGCATTGGTGCAATACAGCATGATACAAAATACATGATACAAAATACGACATGATGCATAATACATTTAAGTATATCAACAAACACGAAGTGCTTTCCAGAAATGTTTTTTCATCAGAGACATTTATTAATTTCAAATAAGAACAAAACTCTTATCTCCTTTAAAGTAGGATCCTCAGACGTCAATGCACGTGTTGGGACGCTTCAACCACTTCGTCAAGATCCCACGGAAGTCAACCAAAGTGAAGGTATCCGGGACCGTTGTCACAGACTCCTTCAGCTTCTCAATGTCTTTAAACCGATTGCTCTTGGTGTTCTTCTTCAGCTTGGGGTGACAACCAGAAGTCACATATCTAAGAGGGTGAGAAACAGTCTTTATGTCCATCTCTCTCAATACAAAACTTTATTTCATGGCGAGCTTCCAAATTGTCTTCCCTTCCTAACTGAATTCTCTAAACTAGTCAGTTGTAACAAGCAGCGTTTAGTAGGATCTTTTCAAAGGTCTGTTACAGCCGTCTCTTTCAATCTAGAATGACAACAGTTGGCAGATCAGCTTAGTAGGTGTATCGTGAAGATATACTAAAATTACAATCATCTACGACTTTTACTACTGCCTCTCCTAACAAAGTCTCAAAACTTCTACATCGTAATGTATTGCTGTAGGTCTTAACTAAACAAAAAGTAGCAAAGTAAGTATTAACTTAGAAAGGAGTATTTTAAAATACAAATGATTATGCAAAGAATCAAACTCAATAATGTTGCATCAGTTTAGATGAAGGGGTGCCCATAAAGCGTTACTTGTATTGGCACAAATTTTACGATTAGCGTCTTGATTTCAAATCTCAACTGAAGCTGTTGTGTTCACTTTTCCCAAATACACTAGGAATTGCTTGAATCTACCCCTTCTCCGGTCAGATATCGAAGGGTAAACTGAAGTCTCTATCTTTGGTAGGCATTTAGTATAAGGGAAGAACAATTCTGAATTCAAAACTGGTTGGTAATTGATTTAACAACTCCAATTGTACATAAAAAAGAAACCTTTTACGAAAACCACAGCATCGACGCCTAAAGTGCTACAACGACAATTCCAAGTCACAAATAAAGTTTCATTTCACTAATAATTTCATTGAAATATTACTGTGCGTCTTAAAGCTTAAATACATTGATGGTTTGATATAGTTCAAGAATCTTTTCTTAACACCCTCGTCGTACTATGCAGAAATCATCCAATCAAAAGAAAATGCACAAATAACAGCAGAAGGAAGCCAATGCCAAAACATCAAAAAAATCAAACAATGAATCTCAATTCCAAAAATATAAACCCAATCACCGAAAGTGCTAGTGGAATTTACTTACATCAGAAGAACACAGTTCCTGAAGAATAGTTCCAGTACTTCGGTAGCAGAGGCAACAGGATGTAACTTGTGTTGAAAAGGAAGCGCTTTATTTTCAAAACGAAGATGGCTTATTCAAAATACAATAGACACCTGAGGAAGGAGGAAGAGTATAGCAGCAGAAACATTGCAAACAAAGAATTTTTTTTTATCGGAGGCTGTAATCGTCCTAGGAGAGGCACTATTGAAGATTTTATAGTGTAGAGTTGCATTTGTGTAATTGAGTCTACATTTTAAAGTATCTGATTTGCTCAATGAGTAAAGATACAAGAATAAGATTCCCCACCAAATGGCTTATTAGTCTCCAACTTTGACACTTTTACAACATTTGTACAAATTAAGTGTACGACTTGAAAACCGGTATTATTTTAATATTTCTTCTTCCATGTGCCGTGTCCCTTCAGGACGTTGGTGATCACGGTTTTACATAATTTCTTGTCCTTTGTAACTCTGAGTAAATTAATATTTTTGCTCTCTTTCTCCCAAACCCTCTTCTGCCAGCCATTTTAACAACGTCGTTAGATAGGTTATTTGTTGCCCCACTTGCCGCCACTTTGAGTGTCAAATTTTCTAAGCCCTCTTTCCTCATTATATGCTCTAGAAATTTCAACTGATTTTTCTGGTGTTAAGTATAAGTCTCATTTTTGTTTCTATTTCCACTAAAATTTCATCAGTTTACAAGAACTTTTTTGGTTTGGCGAAGTGTATGTATCATAATATATTGTCATAAAACAAAGCACAACATGAACGTTTCTATTTTCTCTAAAACTTCGTTGTTGCTCATATATTCGGTTCATGGTATCCTCATCAGACTTCTGTAGAACCACATTTCTGTTGCTTCAATTGTCTTCCTCATTTTGTTTATCTAAGTGTGCAGTCTTTTACCTTTTTCGATTAGTATTTAATCTGGACCTTTAAGTGCTTTCCAGACGCAAGTTTAGTATTTTTATCATCAGTTTACAAGAGGATTTGGGAACGGGGGTTGTATGCATCATATTGTAACGTCATAAAACATCCCACAGAATGAAATGTTCGTTCTAGGGTCACGTCGTTGATCAAATGAAATCTGGTCCTCAATAACCAGACTAACTCACCAGTTTTTTTTTTGTTTTTTTTTTTAATGCTTTTGCAGTGGTGTTCACCCTTTACAACGCCCTGGTGCCACTCGTGGTAGAGGGTTACTGAGCTTATGTGAATATGTGGGGAAGGTTAACCCGAGACTTGGGCAGATTAAGATTGTAGAGATCGGGGAAGTAGACTGTTGCGAGGTGGTTCCATAAGGCAGTGGTTCGTGTGAAGCTGCTTAAGTGGAACTTACCTCCCGCCAGTGGTGGGGATATGAAGGGAATGAGGGCACTTTGCTACAAGGTTCGTGCCATGGCGGGTCATGACCATGAAGGTTAGAACTGGTTGAAGTAATGGAGTGTAGTTCATCTGAACACTCGTCATGTAAATGGCGATAGAACAGTGAGAGTGCCGCGAACTTTTCGCCTGTGAGGAAATGGGTTGCAGAGCGGAAAATAATTTTTCTCCGCTGCAAGGAGGCGGAGATGCTTTTTGACGCTATCGGGAGTGGAAAGTAAAGACTAGGCGGATCACTACCATATATGGTAGCTAAGGAACAGACCGAGATAGATAGATAGATAGATAGATAGATAGATAGATAGATAGATAAAGAAAAAAAGAAAGAAAGAAAGAAGGGAAGATAGATAGATAGATAGATAGATAGATAGATAGATAGATAAAGAAAGAAAGAAAGGGGCAGACTGAGATAGATAGATAGATATAGATAGATAGATAGATAGATAGATAGATAGATAGATAGATAGATAGATATGAACGGACAATAAAATGTCTCCAAAAATAAATTATATTATATTTTATCGACTTCGTCAAATGCCGATGTCGAACCTTGTGAAGAATTGATTGATTTTTTTACAGCCAAAACTTCTTGATTCAAGGAAATAGTTTGAACTAAATATTGCCTCCACTAAATTGAATTCCTTTCTGATCAATCTAACTCATCAGAATTCATCGTCATTTTAAATTACAGAAATAAAAAAAAAAGATTGTTTTTAAGGTTAAAGAAAACTAAGCCGCGGTATTCACTCGTTTAGTAAAAGTTTGTTTTTATTTCCGATCGGTTGAGGATGACAGAAACATATTTTCAAAATGTTGCTGCATTTTATGCTATGAAAGAAGCGACCTCAGTAAGTAATAATTTGTGCGAAAAAAGATACTGTTAGCATAGAACTTAGGGTTACATCTAAAAAGCATTAATTTAAGAGAAGGTTTTTTTTTTAAACATTCAACAATCAGCTGCATTGGTTGTTCGTTCACTGAATGACAGATGTTTCCTTGTAACCCTAAACCTTACCATTTTGCCATTATACATTTTAGGATTCCAAGAGTAAGGAATAAATGTTTTCTTGCAGGGAAAAGTTTTATACTACTATTCCCATTACCATTATGTATGAAAAAAAGGAAACGAAATCTGTAGCTGATTTAATCGCTCAATGTTCAGTCTTCTGATTTCCAGGACAAATTATTAATCAATTCAACGATCGATGTTTTTCATTGATTATTGGTCAAAGATCCGAATCTCTTCATCAATCCCGAAGGATCGAGATAATTCATAATGAAGGCCGAATCAATCGGACAGTTCAGAGTGTGTTAGATTCGATAGGTGACACCTGAAGAAGATTCTGTTTACGACCCGCTGAGAAAATGGTGGCTTTCATTCAGTACCTAATTCATATGCTAATGAGGAAGGACAAAGAATGTCGTTATCGGTCGTATGTAAACATCTGTGAATGTAATTTCATGGTAAAAGTTTTCGCAATGGAACTATTTTTATCATTGTTTCATGTTTCTCTGTTAAGAAAGACATTCTCAACGACAAAATTTTCGTTAATTTCCCACTATAAATAGCCGCCATTTTCTCGAATCAAACGAAAAGTAAAACCTTTTATAGAGAATTCAGATTGGTCTTCCTTCGAAATGTTCAGACATTCTTTAAAACTATAATGACACAACACTAACCGAAAAATGCCTTATTGGTTCAGAAGTAAGGGAAGCTTGGTTTTCTGTAGAGAATTTTGGATTCATTTTTGCAGATAATTAATTTCCCATTAGGTTGAAAAAAAAAAAAGAAATCGAAAACGTTTTTTGATTAATTGATTTGTAGATTGGTTTTCTACGTCTTATCAACCCTTTACCTGTTATTTAAAAGCAGAAAATATTTTTAGATTTTAAGATTATTTTTTTTGAGAGATAATAAAGGAGTAGTGATATAAGTCTTACTAATTAACCCATAGCTGGAGAGAGAAGAGGTGGATTCATAACTTATCAGAGTTTCATTAACAAACAAGAAATTATAATGTGTATATGAAGAAGTGGGGGATCAATTCTACATTATAATCAATATATAAACTGATCCCGCTGTAGTTTCTATAAATTTATATTCCAGGAAATATTAATAGATCTAAAAGACATGCTTGAGTAACTAATCTGTATTTTATTGATTCATTGATTTCTTTTCTACGGCTTATCAACGCTTTTGCAGGTTATTTAAAGCCAGAAAATATTTTTAGATTGTAAGATTATTTTTAAGCTTAAAAGAATTTAACAAACTCAACAGAAATTGGAACTCTGCTCTTAAAATTAAAATTCCGAGAGATTATCCATTAAACCTCCAGCACATCCAAGCTTATAGCATCTGGTATTCCCATGCGGTCATTCATCGAGATTAGATGCTGCTTAACTTCGGTGATTGTACGTGAACCGGTGTTTCAACGTGATGCGGCCGTAAGCCATAAATTGGACACAAATAGAATTGTCGACATTCGCTTGTAAAAACTAAATTCATTAAACATTTCTATTTTTCGCTGTATTGTTTTTGTTTTTTAAATTAACTTTTTAAAAAATTATACTTTCAAACTTTCTCGTCTTTGCAGGTAGTATAAATAGTAATAGTGGAATTAGAGAAACATAAGAAGTTTTCTTTTGAGTATCTGTACAGTAAAGCGCTCTAAGATATTTCTCCGGATTAATTACACTAATGTCCATGGAACAAAAAACAACCCGGTGGCATTTTCATTTATTTTTGGTTTTGGGATGATAAACAGACGGATGACAATTGACGTATTTACATTTGTACAAGTAAAAGTTGAAAACTTTTGAACATCATAGTTGATGGATTTTTTATATATATATATATATATATATATATATATATATATATATATATATATATATATATATATATAATAAAAAAGAATGAACAGTAAGATATATAATCCGGTGTTCTTATTGATAATTTTATTTTTTAAAAAACAGGGCTCAATATAAATTTACAGAGCATAAATATTAAAAATGTGTTAAATTCCCAGGTAAAACGAAGAATTCACATGAAATTCCACATAATTGCTATTTAGAAATTTTCAGAAGAAAAAGTACACCCGACTATAATTTAATGTAAAAATACGAAAGTTATGCTGTGTATGGCTGAATTTTACAATAGGGATTTAAAAGAAATAATTATACATTGCCTACAGAAATATATATATATATACATATAAACCCATATACACATCAAATGCTCCAGACCAGCTGTAACCTTTTACTGAGCGCTATACATAATCTGACCAAAAGCCAAAGTTTCAAGTGAATATAACTTGAAAATCAAAATTCAAAGTCGTTTGCAACAACCACTAACATTGGATTTTCATGATGATTGAATTTGTTGCGACATAAGTAAGACCTTTAATAAACAAAGGAAGGTTTCGATTGCTTCTTTTACTAATGAATCGAGAAAAAACACTTTGAACTTTTACTTACTCTATATATATTTTGTATTTGATTCTCTTCAATATGAACGCCATATTGAACAGGGAAATGCTAGAAATTGTCTAATTGGTTCTTCTGCGCATGTCTTCTGTTTGTCAAGACGCATTAATCTCTTGACTCTGTTTACCAATTATGCATCCTTCATTTTAGGTGATTTTAGATTTGGTTTTTGATTCCAAACACCTTCTGACAGTGAAATGTTTCTTCTTTTGTCTTGGATTAACTCGGGGCTACATCATTAAACACGAAAAGCAAAAGGCGAGAGCTAGACACACATTATCTTTGCCCACAAATGTCTTATGCTAAGGACAAAATACTTTCTTTTTTTTTTTTTTTTTTTTTTTTTGTGGTGCCGTTGGCTCAAGTAGTTTTTCGTACTGGGTGATTCTTTCTTAATTCAAAATAGAGCCTATATGGTTTTGTTTAAAACCAGTCCAATTTGCTATTATTCAGGCCTGGTGATTGCGTCTAGCATGAAACAGACTGTCGCCTCTAAGTGTTGATTCAATGTTCACTTTTATATTTACACACGCTCTATATCTGATATTGATCACTTTATCTCATAAATATATCACACCTTAAGACTATATATATATATATATATATATATATATATATATATATATGAAAATATATAGAAAATAAGAAGGAACTGGTTAGGTAAATAATCCAAAGTCCCTTAGTATTTTAGTTATTATTTTTTATTCCAACAAAAATTTCGCTTGAGGATGGAACGGAGCCCATTTTACTTTCAACTCAATTTAATTTAAAGGATTATATTGAAGTTTTCGGCTCTAGTTTTGAAACATGAGACCTCTTATGTAGCGATTTGGAATCATATTTTTAAATAAATAATTATATATATATATATATATATATATATATATATATATAAAATATATATAGAGTAAGTAAAAGTTCAAAGTGTTTTTTCTCGATTCATTAGTAAAAAAAGCAATCGAAACCTTCCTTTGTTTATTAAAGGTCTTACTTATGTCGCAACAAATTCAATCATCATGAAAATCCAATGTTAGTGGTTGTTGCAAACGACTTTGAATTTTGATTTTCAAGTTATATTCACTTGAAATTTTGGCTTTTGGTCAGATTATGTATAGCGCTCAGTAAAAGGTTATAATTGGAAAGTGCGATCATCAGAGAAACTCGTTTATTATTTAAAAATTGGATCTATATATGTTTGTTTGTGTTTGATAAACAATCATAAATAGATCGAATTTTGAAATAATGAACAAGTTTGTCTGAGTCTGTCTATATTTCTGAGATGAGGTATTATGTACAGTATTTACATTAGTCGGACTATTGTCCTCATCTTTGTCGCCATATTTGTCACAACGTTTCGGACGTTGTACGCTCCGGCCTTCTTCAGGTGGTTGGAATTTCGAACTGAACCCTTTATTTTAACTCACTGGGGTAGACTGTTCTAGTTCCACGTACCATGTTTTAATGGATGTCAGTTATCAGTTATCCCCTGCTAATTTTCCCTCTGAAAGTTCTCCACTGCCTTAATCGGGTATTGAACTCACATTCTTTGGGTCTGTCACTGGACCTAACTAACGCCTTTAACCACTGTGCCATGTGTCCTTGAGGACATCTGGGTATTATAAACCTAATGTTTTCAGCAATCATTTTTTTACCAGTGCTCATATTGCAATTTTGCTGTTATCATTGCATGTTTTTACCAGAGTTCATATTGCAACTTTTGTTATCATTGCTTTTCTCTGGCACTCCTTATTACTGGTTCCCATATTGTATTTATTTTTATGCTTGGTCGGCTCAGGAGATTTTTGTGGCCTAGCATATGTGCTGATTCCTTAAGTTTTCGAATTTTCCAATGGTGTTCCCTATGTATGACCACGACATGATCCCACAGGGGGCGGTGATCTCCCTTCTCTCTCCATATGTGGTCAGCCACGCCTGATTTTTCTACTTCCCCTCGCGTTACAGCTTTCTGGTGTTCTTGAAGCCTTACCTAGAGGATAAAGGCGTTGGTTAGATCCAGTGACACAGAATGTGAGTTCAATACCCGGTTAAGGCAGTGGAGAACTTTCAGTGGGAAAATTAGCAGGAGATAACGGATAACTGACATCCATCAAACATGGCACGTGGAACTAGAACAGTCTACCCCAGTGATCAAAATAAAGGGTTCAGTTCGAAATTCCAACCACCTGAAGAAGGCCGGAGCGTACAACGTCCGAAACGTTGTGACAAATATGAGGACAATAGTCCGACTAATGTAAATACTGTACTGCTTGTCTGATTATCGCACATCCTGGAAAACAAGAGTCACAAATACATATCCATACGATTGCGTATATATATATATATATATATATATATATATGTGTGTGTGTGTGTGTGTGTGTGTGTATATATATTTATATATATATATATATATTATGAGCTGAGTATTAATTCAAGTAATGGTCAAATGTGTCACATAATTTAATCGGATATTGGATAATTACAAGAGGGAATCTGAAAGGTTTAGGGCACATAAGTTTCAGCTTTTGGTTCTGGTCCATTTAAATAAGAAATGAATTATTCAAGTTGGCCGCTATGCTAACCGATTCAAATCAAACGTGGATGACAAATCTAATATTAATTTGTCTCTCCGTGTGTCTCTTCCATGTGTGCGTGAATTCATTTGTTTATTTCATTTAAGTAGAAAGTACGACCTTTACTCGAATAAATATGCCATACGTAATTGCAGCACAGATTCTAAAACAGGAAACATAATTGCAAGTTAACGTCGAGATCCATATGCACGTCGATCAAACAACGTGATGATTCCTCTTCAGGGCAAAAACTTTGACACAAAAAATACGCCATTGATGTCGTCATATAATGCATCAATTACGAGGCGATTTTACATGCACGTTTACGTTGATTTATAAAAGTTTTATTTTATCTACATATATATATATATATATATATATATATATATATATATATATATATATATATATATATATGAATGTATTTATAGATAAAACGGATATATACAGTCATAATAACACACACACACACACACACACATATATATATATATATATATTTAAAGATTTGATAGGTGATACAAAATTTTATGATAGCCATGAAAAGACAAAATTTATTTTTATTACCACTCATGATGATAATGGATACAAAGTAAAACTGAAAAGCGAGCTAGCTAACTGCTTTCGAACCTCGCTCAACAGAGCTAAATCGAGGTTAATAAATTAGGTTAATAGAATTATCACTAAAAAGTGATGGACAATATGTATTAGAGTGGTGGGGGATAATAATGCTTTGATAGAAATTAGTTGGAGACCCAGTACGAAGTCCTACTGTTTACACAGAGAGGGCTTCAACGATAAAATATAAATGACCTCCAACACTTCTCAAGTGGTAATTCGAGTGGGTCTTGGTAAGAATGTTAAATGAATCCACACTGAAACTAGTAGCACAATTATGGCTGTTTATTAGATGATCTGTGGTAGAAGACCCATATGTATTGGTCAGTGTGTCTAAAGGATTATATTTAAGATTGTGGATCTTTACTGACATCCAGCCTTTGCGTCGTTCTCCTTATGTGAACCACAACTACATTTAAATGAATAAATCAAAGAACTATTATGATGTGGAGGAAGAATGTCTTTCCGCATGGATGGAAGTACAGGTGTGTCAGAAAAAACTACATGAGTCTTAGCAGCAAAGTAACAATGTCGAACCGCAAAAAAAAAACAAAAAAAAAACGCTTATCATATCTATCATTGATAGTACCAAGCCAAAGAAGTCACATATACGTAGGATATCTTTGTAATACCTCCGGTTTAACTTTATTGAATTCAGCAATTTTGTTCTTAATTATTGATGGAATGATGCCCAAAGGATAGGAATTGTTATAGAGATTAGTGGTAATAAATTAGAGTTCGTCATCCAATTTGGTTTTAGAGCAGATCATTAAAGCCCTATAAGTAAGAGTTTTAATTAAATTGATTTTGCGTTTTACGGGACAAAACGAGCCCCAATGGGTATACAAACCAGTAAATGTCGGTTTACAATAAAAAAAGATGTAAGAAAACCAGACAAAGATCTGCTAACCAAACCATCAAGAAAGGGAAGACAAGAATCAATTTCCTTTTCTTGTGGAAATTTTAAAGCTGGGGGCGGGGGGCATAGTATTCAGGAACGAAAGAAAATGGTCAGCTTCAATCTCGTTATCGAAGAGACAAAAAGTGTCATTAACGTAACGGAAGTAAATATCAGGTTTATTAGATTTAGATAATACACACTCTTCATGGAATGCAACAAAGATGTTTGCTAAGATGGCTTCCAAAAGAAACACTATCAATATGCCTACACATGACACCGTCAAAACTAAATCCAACAGACACCCTGTACATATGTTGTTCACGTATAGAGACATCTACGAAATTGTATCTAATCAATGTACAGGGGGCCGACACTATTTTGGGGACACTTTGAAAAATGAGCTCAAAGGTGTTTTTTGCTGCCGAGAGCTTTTGTGTTGATGAGTACGTTGTTCAGCAGTGACTGTCCATTAATGGTATGAACATTGATTGATGGGTTTGTCTTTGGTTTCATGTTTTCTTTATTTTTACTTCAACTTAGGCGACACTATTTTTCGGACATGACACAAATTCCGGGTTTTTGAATGATTTAGTCATCGAACGTCTACAATATGCAAATTTTCTGCAGGTAAATTGTTCCCTGAACACTAAATTTGAGTATCTTTACCATTCAATGCGAAAACGTATTAAAATCTTGAAGAAGAATGCATTCAAAAGAAGTCATCAGTTTGGTCCAAAAGAAGAGAGAAGATGGGCTCAGCATCCAAAAGATTCCCGCTGAGATGAAGCTACCAAAGTCAACAGTTGAATACATGCTAAGTACAGATTATGAGCGGAAGAAGAAAAAGAGGACGGAAAAAACAATTTCAAGAGAACAGAAGAATGAAGAGGAGTGTTACGAGGTTGTTATCATCTGGAGAAAAGGTGACAGCGAAGAAAGTAAAGGAGAAGTGTGAACTTGACGTCAGTGTTCGAACTGTACAAAAGAAACTACACGAAATTGGACTTAAGTATGCTAAAATCAAGAAAAGAATTACACTAACGAGAAAACACAAAAGGCAAGGCTGGGAAACGCCAAAAGATGGATAACAAACCATATCGACTTCAAGAAAGTGATATTTACTGATGAAAAACGTTTTAAGTTCGATGGACCTGACGTGTGGTGTACATGATCGAGAAAAGGTGAATAGAGTTCTAGAAACATGAAGAGATGTTAAGCCCCTATTTGTAACCACATACCTATATCGTCTTATATGCCTATGAGTTTCTATGTACACCTACACACACATTCACACGAAACGATATATGTATATTTCCATCTTTACACATATACACCTGCAGAGAAAACGCACATCCACATGTCTCCATACCTATCTCTATGTATACTTATACTTACATATATACATATACACACAAGGACATCTGCATATCCATATATACTCATACGCACACATATATATCTACACATCCATATGTATACACATATACACATACATACACCCCATATATGCATACGTACACATACATATACATACACACACACACATATGCATACGCAATCTGCAGAATATCTATATACCCACATATGCGTTAATTTGCACTTACATATATCTATCCACGTATTTGTCCCTATTCTCATGTCCACCTGTGCATCCACTTATGCCTGCGTTCGAAGACTATCTCAGTATTTAATAACATTATCTATGTCTTTACATCTATTATATTACCCGATCTTTCATATTTATGGCAAAACATATAAGTACCTAACTAATTGTACATCTCCACACTCACAAAAAAAAAAAAAAAAAAAAAAAACCAAAACTGGTATGCTTCTTTTTCCGTATAAAAACATATACATGTACATATCAACAGGTGTCTCAGTGTGCAAATACATTATCATAGTTTTATACATACAGTCATGTGTTAGCGTTCACGTGTGCATAGTAATATTTCTAAAAACAAAAGGGACAGAACCCTGTTAAAGGGGTTATGGTGAAATAGCTTATTACATGGAATCTTAACGTGGTCTGTCTTTTATTCAAAATATATATATATATATATATATATGAGGAAGAGGTTATAATTGTTCCAATGAGAGAAATGTGCATATTTTAAAAAGAAAAGAGAAACCGCAAACGTTTTTGGTTATAATGTGGAATTTTTAAAAATATATATTATAATTTATAATTTTAAAGTATATATATTTAAAAAAAAATCCGTATTATAAGCAAAAACGTTTGCGGCATTCTCTTTAACACACACACACACACACACACACACACACACACACACACACACACACACACACAGACACACACACACACACACATACACACATATATATATATGTATATATAATTTATTTGTTTAAACGTTATTTTTAATGGCTACTCATATTTGAGTAGATTTTCTTTATTCATTTATTTATTTATTAAACAGTATATTTATTTATTTATATCTACTGGCCTGAATGTTCGAGAAATCTTTTAGAAAAATATGCGATGGCTACTTTGGAGCCCTGACTGAATAATAATGTAGAGAGAAAAAGGTAGAGTACAATAAAATTGGAAAAGAAAAGCACAGCAAAACAGACGAATGTATACAACATGGCGCTCGGCTCAGAAATGATTCTATTCAGGTTAACTCAGTTGCACTCCGTTCGGTAATGTTGTTCGAGAACCGAAAGTTTGTTCGATAACCAAGGCAATTTGGCCACATGGATACTGCAGTTATCTTGCTACAAAATAAAATTACTTCCCATTTCTTTTTCTATGGGTGGTAGGGCTCTCTTTTCCAAGAGTTCTCTGTAGCTCAAGCTATTTTGACATCCTTTTAACCACTCGAGCCACAAGTTTCCATTCGGAAATACTATACCCCAAACCATGACTCCTCCTCCACCCATCTGTCTATTGTTGAGAATAACAGATTCACCTTTTCTCGATCATGTACACCACACGTCAGGTCCATCGAACTTAAAACGTTTTTCATCAGTAAATATCACTTTCTTGAAGTCGATATGGTTTGTTATCCATCTTTTGGCGTTTCCCAGCCTTGCCTTCTTGTGTTTTCTCGTTAGTGTAATTCTTTTCTTGATTTTAGCATACTTAAGTCCAATTTCGTGTAGCTTTCTTTGTACAGTTCGAACACTGACGTCAAGTTCACACTTCTCCTTTACTTTCTTCGCTGTCACCTTTTCTCCAGATGATAACAACCTCGTAACACTCCTCTTCATTCTTCTGTTCTCTTGGAAATTGTTTTTTTCCGTCCTCTTTTCTTCTTCCGCTCATAATCTGTACTTAGCATGTATTCAACTGTTGACTTTGGTAGCTTCATCTCAGCGGGAATCTTTTGGATGCTGAGCCCATCTTCTCTCTTCTTTTGGACCAAACTGATGACTTCTTTTGAATGCATTCTTCTTCAAGATTTTAATACGTTTTCGCATTGAATGGTAAAGATACTCAAATTTAGTGTTCAGGGAACAATTTACCTGCAGAAAATTTGCATATTGTAGACGTTCGATGACTAAATCATTCAAAAACCCGGAATTTGTGTCATGTCCGAAAAATAGTGTCGCCTAAGTTGAAGTAAAAATAAAGAAAACATGAAACCAAAGACAAACCCATCAATCAATGTTCATACCATTAATGGACAGTCACTGCTGAACAACGTACTCATCAACACAAAAGCTCTCGGCAGCAAAAAACACCTTTGAGCTCATTTTCAAAGTGTCCCCAAAATAGTGTCGGCCCCTGTACATTGATTAGATACAATTTCGTAGATGTCTCTATACGTGAACAACATATGTACAGGGTGTCTGTTGGATTTAGTTTTGACGGTGTCATGTAGGCATATTGATAGTGTTTCTTTTGGAAGCCATCTTAGCAAACATCTTTGTTGCATTCCATGAAGAGTGTGTATTATCTAAATCTAATAAACCTGATATTTACTTCCGTTACGTTGATGACACTTTTTGTCTCTTCGATAACGAGATTGAAGCTGACCATTTTCTTTCGTTCCTGAATACTATGCCCCCCGCCCCCAGCTTTAAAATTTCCACAAGAAAAGGAAATTGATTCTTGTCTTCCCTTTCTTGATGGTTTGGTTAGCAGATCTTTGTCTGGTTTTCTTACATCTTTTTTTATTGTAAACCGACATTTACTGGTTTGTATACCCATTGGGGCTCGTTTTGTCCCGTAAAACGCAAAATCAATTTAATTAAACTCTTACTTATAAGGCTTTAATGATCTGCTCTAAAACCAAATTGGATGACGAACTCTAATTTATTACCACTAATCTCTATAACAATTCCTATCCTTTGGGCATCATTCCATCAATAATTAAGAACAAAATTGCTGAATTCAATAAAGTTAAACCGATGGCCTTTTCTTTTTTATTATTAAAGCTTCCATTATTTTTAATTTTATTTTATTTTTTTTACTGTTGATGAGGTTATTATGTTTGTATTTTCTACTAGTAGGTTTCGAATGGAGTCTGGGGTGTGTGTGTTTAAACGGGTTCTCATGGAGCTGTGGTCAGATAGGTGTAACATAAAGCGTCTGGATAGGCATGTAGTAGTGTAACCGATGTAATTATTTAATGAAATACACACACACACACACACACACACACACATATATATATATATATATATATATATATATATATAAGCTTCAGTAAAAAATGACTGACAAGCTACTGTTTTTTATTTATTTTTTTATTGTGTTCTTATAACTTATTATGTAAAAATTAATAAAAGTAAAAGCCAACACTGCATAACATCAACTATGGGCATGATCACAATGTTCTGACCGTGTTTGGAAAATAGTACATTCCTATAACTTAAGATACATGCATAAAAAATCATTACATTTAGTTAAAAGTGAAGACAAAATGAGCCGTGATAATGGCTAAAATTACAGAGTAACTTCGGTTCTTAAAAATATCACATATCGAACAAATTGGTTTTCGAACAGAAAATTCGTGATGAAAATGCCTTGGTTATCGAACAAACTTTCGGTTCTCGAACAACATTACCGAACGGAGTGCAACTGAGTTAACCTGAATAGAATCATTTCTGAGCCGAGCGCCATGTTGTATACATTCGTCTGTTTTGCTGTGCTTTTCTTTTCCAATTTTATTGTACTCTACCTTTTTCTCTCTACATTATTATTCAGTCAGGGCTCCAAAGTAGCCATCGCATATTTTTCTAAAAGATTTCTCGAACATTCAGGCCAGTAGATATAAATAAATAAATATACTGTTTAATAAATAAATAAATGAATAAAGAAAATCTACTCAAATATGAGTAGCCATTAAAAATAACGTTTAAACAAATAAATTATATATACATATATATATATGTGTGTATGTGTGTGTGTGTGTGTGTGTGTGTGTGTGTGTGTTAAAAAGAGGAGAGAAACCGCAAACGTTTTTGCTTATAATACGGATTTTTTTTTAAATATATATACTTTAAAATTATAAATTATAATATATATTTTTAAAAATTCCACATTATAACCAAAAACGTTTGCGGTTTCTTTTTTCTTTTAAAATATGCACATTTCTCTCATTGGAACAATTATAACCTCTTCCTCATATATATATATATATATATATATATATATATATATATAATAAAAGACAGACCACGTTAAGATTCCATGTAATAAGCTATTTCACCATAACCCTTTAACAGGGTTCTGTCCCTTTGTTTTTAGAAATATTACTATGCACACGTGAACGCTAACACATGACTGTATGTATAAAACTATGATAATGTATTTGCACACTGAGACACCTGTTGATATGTACATGTATATGTTTTTATACGGAAAAAGAAGCATACCAGTTTTGGTTTTTTTTTGTTTTTTTTTTTTTTTTTTTGTGAGTGTGGAGATGTACAATTAGTTAGGTACTTATATGTTTTGCCATAAATATGAAAGATCGGGTAATATAATAGATGTAAAGACATAGATAATGTTATTAAATACTGAGATAGTCTTCGAACGCAGGCATAAGTGGATGCACAGGTGGACATGAGAATAGGGACAAATACGTGGATAGATATATGTAAGTGCAAATTAACGCATATGTGGGT